CGATCGACGATCGATCGACCGACTGATTGATGAGAGAGGCGGATGCACAGATGGCTTCGCAGTGGACCCCTTGTGGCTTACACGACAAGCGGATCAGGGCCCATTTGATGGGGCCCCTTTTCAACCAACAAGGGCCGATGGACTAGAGAGGACGACACAACAAGCGGCGGATCTGGGCCCATTTGATGGGGGGCCTTTTGAACCAACAAGGGCCGATGGACTAGAGAGGACGACACAACAAGCGGATCGGCAAAGATGTGAAAACGCGACAGAAGAGATGTGAGTCTTATGACCATGTGTACAAAATGGTTCGTGGTACTTAGTACAACACTGCGAGAGGCAAACTATACACCAAAGCTGGGAGTATGATCGATCCCCATCTCCTTCGATAGATTGTCCAACTCCAAGCTCGAGCGCTGGAGTAGATCCCCTGCCAGTTTCAGACGGGCCCAGACCCGGCGTCATCAGGGAGAGACTTCCTTCAAGTTACTTCGACGATTGCCTATGCCAACACTTTTTTTTTTTTTTTTTTTTTTTTGGTTGCTAACACATTTATACTTGTGCAGGTAGAGTACTGTGATTACACCTCTTCCTGTCACGGATGCAGAGTACTTAGACGCGATTTCTCGACGGTTGAGTTTTCCTCACTGTCTAGTACTTCCTGAATTTCCCTGGCGCCAAGGTAACGTGTTTTCATCACTGTCTACAAGCATCCTGCGATAGCACTCCACCACCCAGATGGCTCCTGTCTATCGGTGGGGGAGCTGCACCTGCTCGAACCTGAGTCCAGTGTCCCATATTTTTAAAATCTTTTTTTTTTTTTTTAATAAAAAGCTCCAATCTTTTTTTTTAAATCAACGAGTTATGATGAGCTTTCTTTACCAGGGCCATTTTTTTTTTCGACGTACGATGAGCTTCGGCGGGGGGGGAAAAAAAAAATGCCGGCGTAACGACCACATGTTGAAAAGCTGCTCAATCTACAAACACCGGCACGGGTGGCTGCGCACACGGGGCTGGAACGCCTTCCAGGCGACTCTCTTGGAGTCTGATTGCCCTCCTAGTTTCTGTTCTGTTAAGACTCCCCCCTCTCCCCCCTCGGCCCCCCTCGCCTCCCCTTCTCTCCACGCTGTGCAGACATGGGGAAGTTGTGCAAACATGTGCAGTGTGGGGAAAAAGGGGGGAAAAAGGAATGAACATGAAAAGAAGAATCGAAAGAATAAATTTGTTAAGCCACCAGTACTTCCTAAAGTCGTGCCTGTTAACGCTACGCGATTTTAGGAAACGTACGGGCCACTACAGGAGCGCCCAAATTCATCCAACTAGAAACGTTTCTACTCTATTTTTTTCAGCGGCCGGTGGTTTAATTTGTTGTAATAATTGATGGTTTCGCAAATTTGCAGGCAGCGAAGCGAAGACAGAGAAGACAGCAGGGCAAGCTACCAGTAGCCAGCAGCAGCTGAAGCCCAAAAAGAAGAAAGGCTTTGCTCTGCGCAAAAAGATGAGGGTCCGTGTGGCAGCCTCGACTCTGAAGAAAGGTGTGTGTTATGATGTCACCTTGTGTGCGTAAGAGAACACATGGGCGGCTTGCCGCCGCCTCCTCTTCTTCCCTCTCCTCCTCCTCCACCTCCTCTTCCTACTCTTCTTCCTTCTCCTCCTCCAATTCTTCCTCCTCCTCTTCCTCTTCCTCTTTCTCCTCCTCCTATTCTTCCTCCTCTTCTTTTCCCCCTTACGAGAGCATGTCGCAGGTTTCATCATTTATTATCTTTCTAGTGGGACAAGGAGTCTATTTCCTTTTTTGGCAAAGCAGAGGGTCTTTTCGGATTGCATCTGCCAGGACTTATGTGGGAGGTCTGGACTTATGTGGGGGGTCTGAATCTCTTCAAGCATCGGGGAATGGTGGAAGAAGAAAAAAAGGAAAAAAACTTAAGGAAAACAAAAAAGAGCAGCGGAGTTTTGGGAAGTAGCTCCACACACTCACCACATCCACGATCAGGTTCAACCAGGTTCCGAAATCCAGACTCCCAGCTTTTCGTGTACTTCCTCTTTTGGAGCAGTAGAGTTTTGAGAGAGAGAGAGAGAGAGAGAGAGAGAGAGAGAGAGAGAGAGAATGCTGTGGTGTGGTGTGGTGTGATACGTCGAGAGAGAGAGAGAGAGAGAGAGTGCTGTGGTGTGGTGTGGTGTGATACGGAGAGAGAGAGAGAGAGAGAGAATGCTGTGGTGGTGTGATACGTCGTTGAACTTGAAATCAAACTTGTAGTGATGTTGATTAATGTATGTCGAGCTACCGATGCCACATTGAGGCTGACCGGCGTGCATGCGTTGCTTTGCTTTTTTCTCAATTCTTCTTTGTAGGTGGGAAGAACATGATGATGGCTGATGCGTTGGGTGGAGAGGCTCCTCCCGAAAGCGACAAAATGATGGAATAGAAGGGGTGCACATCGAATGAACAGGGCAGCAGGTTCCCATGGGGCGGGGGCGCTTTGTGGAACTCTCAGGGGCCTTTCTGGCCGTCGATCATCGATATCGTGTTCGCCTGCGATGCCTACCTGGTAGTGGGTGGTTAGTGAGCTAGACAGAAAGGAATTTTGTTTGTGCGGAATTTCGTCATCCGACATTCAGTTAGCGTGAAGTTGTTTGTTTGTGTTGTCGTCTCCTTCAGTAGTGATGCCATCTGTACAAGATTGAAGTTGCAAAAAAAGTGTCTGTAAACGTAATAGGCGTGATTTATTTGATTCGACATTGGGAAGAAGAGGAGAATTTGCGAAGCTTGAAAGAAAAAAAAGAAACAAAATGGAGAAATTCTTCTTCTCAGCGCCTTTGGAGCAGTCCTCACCATAGTCGTTTGTGAGCAGCTGGTTGGGCACATATGCTGCTATTTGGCAGAGAGAGAGGGAGGAGACAGAGGGAGGGAGAGGAACTGTGTCACCATGGGTCTTTGAGATCGTGGCATGATGGTGTCCAGCTCGTTGGAAAGAGGTGGAGAATGGGGAAGGAAGAGAGAGAGAGAGAGAGAGAGAGAGAGAGAGAGAGAGAGAGAGAGAGAGAGAGAGAGAGAGAGATGATGGTGTCCAGCTCGTTGGAAAGAGGTGGAGAATGGGGAAGAGAGAGAGAGAGAGAGAGAGAGAGAGAGAGAGAGAGAGAGAGAGAGAGAGTGGTTGTCTTTCTACACAGATTCAAGGCAGTCGTGGCATGACCACATGGCGATGGAATAATTTAGTGGCCATCTGGTTTCGCTTCCGTTTTTGCATTGGCCTGGAATAATCGGCATGTGGCTGCAGTTTGTGTTGGAGGCGGCAACGAGCGGAGAAAGGGTGGTGGTGACTGTGGGAGGTAACTGCGAGGCAAGGGTGATGTAAATTCCCTATATTTTGCATCTCTGTGTCTCGGAGGCAAATGTGTCAATTGACAAGATTGACCGAAGTTTTTCATTCCCAATTTCGGTTTGTTTCTGTTTCGCCTTTCTTTGTTTTGCACACGTTGTTCTCTTTGCGCTTTCTGCAGCCTGTTGTGACGTTGTCAACATTCTGTGAATATGCACTGACTGGTTAAGGAAGCTGATTGTCATCTTGACCATTGGGAGACCAGTGGGACGAAGAAGGGGAGAGAGAGAGAGAGAGAGAGAGAGAGAGAGAGAGAGAGAGAGAGAGAGAGAGAGAGAGAGAGGNGAGAGAGAGAGAGAGAGAGAGAGAGAGAGAGAGAGAGAGAGGTTAGTGAAGCTGATTGTCATCTCGACCATCTGCAGTTGTGTGTGTGTGTGTGTGTGTGCGTGTGTGTGTGTGTGTGTGAGAGAGAGAGAGAGAGATTCGGGAAGCTGATTGTTATCTCGACCATTGCGAGACCAGTGGGAGGAAGAAGGAGATGGAGGGCTGTTTGTGTGTGTGTGTGTGTGTGTGTGAGAGAGAGAGAGAGAGAGAGAGAGAGAGAGAGAGAGAGAGAGAGAGAGAGAGAGAGAGAGGCGTCGTCCATTTGTTTTCCTTTCGGTTTCAAAAGGGCAACAAAGAGCGAATATGAACTGGAGCAGGAGGTTCTCGTGGAGTGAGTATATGCATGAGAAGTGGTGAATCGGAACTAACTCGGGTGTCTGGAGTGTCAACGGTGTGTGGAAGGGAGAAGAGAGGTGAAGAGAGGTGAAGAGAGGTGAAGAGAGGTGAAGAGAGGTGAAGAGAGGTGAAGAGAGGTGAAGAGAGGTGAAGAGAGGTGGTCAGCGAAGTAGCAAGAAGAGTAGCAGCTAGAAGACTGGTAGCAAGGAAGAGTGTAGAGCTTGAGCATCCACAGAATTGGGTGTGTGAGTGTTTTTCATCATCTCAGTACGGAGTCTTACGATGTGTGGATATAAATGCACGATGTATCTGACTGGAGACCTGCTTTCTGTGCATTCTCCCCCAAGTGGAATAAGCATGGCCATCTTGGCGGTATCTGGCTCAAAAACTGGTTTCTATGCATAATATACGATGCCTATGCCTTCTTTTCACGGAACGATGACAGGTTGTTCAATTAGCAAAATTTGTTGGATGGAGTTAGGGAATGTGGTCGAAAGTTTCATCGAAAGTTCCTCGAAAGTTCCTCGAAAGTTCGTAGCAAGTTCTTAAGGTAAGAGTCTCAGTGGTGGGTGCTCAAATCGAATCGAGGGCTGTGCTTTTTTGTTGGTGGCAGATCTAGAAATGCATTTCTCGACTTTTTTTTTTTTTTTTTTTCCGACATTCATTTTTGGTGGTGTTCATGCTGTGTGAACATCGTCGGTGTCCCACAAAAAAAAAAACAAAAAAAAAACCATCGTCGGTGATTGCTGTTGTATCACTAAGGGCCTCCTTGCCCCACTACTCACCGCATGGGCAAAACACAAAAAAAAATAAAAATGGTCGTGTATCTATACAGGTTGTAGTGTACAGATTCGTTCTCATTTTGCACATTTGGTGAGTAGCGCAGCGAGGCTATAATTTGTTTGTGTTTCGTTTGTGTTTCTCTCTTTCGAAAACTCTGCTTGTGTTTGCCGCGCTGCTCTTTGTCTGCTGACTGCTTGTACCTGGTCTATTTATAGTTGCAGGTGCGGAAGAGGCTGACAACTGACGATCGCATTCTTTTTTTTTTTTTTTTTTTAATCCATTCGAGGTTGGCAGCGAGGCTGTAGAAGATCATCAGAACATGGCAATAGTAAAAATAAAAAGTACTTTTAATGTTTTAAAAAGTGTAATTGGAGGGGAAAGTACCTCCTTTCCCCGAACACAATGTACGTCATACGGATGGTCATTGTAGCTGTATTTGGGGTATCTTTGAGTCTAAATACAGCTATAGTGATCGTAAGTAGTATTCGGAGGAAGAAAGATAGATGTGTGGAGAACAAGAAACTTCGTAGTGTTTGTATGTGGTCGATTATAAGATATGCCATGCATGTGAATCGTCCATAAGCAAGGAATGATTTCAGATCATTATAGCTGTATTTGGGCTACCTTTGAGTCTAAATACATCTATAATGATTGTACGTAGTATTGGGGGGAAGAAGAAGGAAGTTTGTTCAAGAAGAAACTTGGTAGCCTTTTCGTAGCCTTTGTATGTGGACGATTATGAGAGATACGAGGCACATGTAAATCGTTGATAAGCAAGCACTGGTTTCAAGTCTTGACGGAAGATTCCTAATCTTAACGGATGATTTCGAATCTTAACGGATGATTCCAAATCTTAACGGATGATTTCAAATCTGAACGGACGATTCCAAATTTTAAGGGACTATTCCAAATCTTAACGGATGATTTCAAATTGCAACGGACAAATCTTAACGGATGATTTCAAAT